TGTTGTAGCGCAAGCAAGCAAAACCATCCACAGCAACGAAACACCTCATAACAAACTACGCTAAGGTGCTAAGCTAAGCTAGCAGGAAGCTCAATATGACGCGTCTATATATGGTCTCTACTCACTAAGCTGGTATTTAGCTTAGCCACCAATGATAGTACTCTGTGCAGTATGCTGGCTAATAGAATAAAATGGAAAAATACTGTGGTCATATAGATGCAAGTGATTAAAAACTGTTGGTAGCTCTTACCTGACTTTGCTCTATGTTTTGAAATGAAGAGGGAACTATTTTATCGACGCACTGCTTTCTTGTTCTATTGATATTTGATGACATACTCGCCCCCGAGGTTTTGCCGCCCTCTAAAGGAAATTAGTAAGTATGTGCTTGGTATGTAGCTGTACCAAACATAAAACTTAATAACTTTGCCGAATTGTAATTTCAATAACATATTTACTGTTATTCATTATTTGTGCAGAATTAGCTGTCTAATTTTATGGAAGTGTTCGAATTAATAGTACGGCTTATAAAATCGTCTGCGTCTAATTTTATTGCATGCAGGTAAGGAGCTTTCTGTTCCACCCAAAAATTTAAAAATGACTCTAAAACAATAGTTGTGTAAATTACACCTGTCCGGAGGCAAAATGTAAACCTATTTGTTGAAAAAGTAGATCCAAAATATTCTTTAAAATACAAATTAGCTCTTGAGAACTCCCGCAAAATGGCGTTTTTCTCTTGCTAGTCAAATTGCATGGTAAATATGACAATTATAATAAGTTATAAATTAACTATTATGGTTTCAATACATACCTCTTATAATTGTTTCAGTCTACTTTGTGACTCACATCTGTGCAGTGCTTTCACGGAAACCTGTTTAGTCTGGAAAAAGAAGCGACAAAACACATGGTCACGTGATGTGCTAACGCCATAGGTGGACCAAAGTTTAGTCCTGTTTGACGTATTTTGTATTTTTCCAGTCTTTTATGACCAGTTTGAGTGTGTTACTGTAAACAATGTAACGCTCATTTTTCCGTAAGGCTAATTCATTTCAATTTTTATTTATCTATACAATTACATTCTTTTCACAGTCCTTAACATTCCATGGTTAACATCTTTTTCTTTGAGCTGAACAAAATAAATTTTTTATGGTTTATTTATCATTTTCTTTAAATACATAACAGCTAATTATAAAATAAAGGGTATGGGGTTTATTTGTAAAGTTTATGAAGCCTAAATTGTATTCTAGTTGTAGAATAACCCAACCGATAAACACTTAACATAATTGTATCTCCCCTGTAACTTGTGAAGATCCCTCCTTTTTATTGAACGTAAAGAAGGAGAAAAGAAAAAAAATAATGGCAAAAAAACAAATAAGGGGTCATATCTGATGAACTCTTGTCTAACTTCTTCCTGATTTATATTCAGTTTTTA